ATATGTAGCTAAATCTAAATGAACACTCACTGTATAAAATAATCATTATCATGCATTGTGAGGTTTAAAATGAGTATATATAAGTTCTCTAATGACAAGTGTTAATATTTTCTATACAAAGAGCTCCTACAAATCAATAAATAGCAAACAAAAACATAGATAACTGATATAAATAGCAATTTGCAGATGTGTAAAACATTAATGGTCAACCTCACTAGTTACCAGTAAAATGCAAATAAAAATAATATACCATTTTTTGTCTGTCAAATTGGCAAAAACTCTTTAAAGTAAGATAATACCCTAGGGTAGATGTGGATATGGAAAAACAGAAGATCTTAGATCCCAGTGAGAATAAATGGATAAAACCTTTCCCAAGAGCGTTCTGATAAAACCTAGCAAACTCTTAAATTAACATACCCTCTACACAAGCAATTCTCCTAGGAATATAGCCAATGTGAATATACAATGTACAACGATATTTGTGACATTTATTGTAACATTGTTTACAATAGCACAAAATTAGAGAGAAGATACATGTCACCAAAAAAGAAAAGAAAGGTTAAGTAAATTATGCATTATCCACAGAAGGAAATATCATATAGACATTGAAAAGAATTAGGACTACAAATAATAAACTATTGTGTACTTAAAATTTGCTAAAAGAGGAGGTCAGGTTTTTTGTTTTTTGTTTTGAAACAGGGTCTCACTCTATCACCCAGGCTGGAGCGTAGTGATGTAATAATCACAGCTCACTGCAGCCTCAACCTCCTGGCTCAGTCTCCCAAGTAGCTGGGACTACAGGTACATGTCACTGTCTCTGGCCTTTTTTTCTTTTTCTTTCTTTCTTTTTTTTTTTTTTTTTTTGTGGTAGAGACAGGGCTCTACTATGTTGCCCAGGTCAGTCTCAAACTCCTGGGCTCAAGTGATCCTCCTGCCTCAACTTCTCAAAATGCTGGGATTACAGGCGTGAGCCATCACATACAGCCAAAAAAGAACAGATCTTCTCACAACACACACACACACACACACACACACACACACACACACACAAAAGCTGACTACATGGGGTGATAGATACATTAGTTAGCTTGGCTGTGGCTTCACAGCCAATGCATACATATATCAAAATATCATACATACACCATAAATAATTAACAATTTTTGTTTGTCAATTATACCTCAATAAAACTATAAGAAAAAAATTAGGAGACATGTTGGTACTGAAATGAAGAAATATCCAGCATACACTGCTGACATGTTTTAATGCTGCAGAACATATATTACGATCCCATTTTGTTCTTTATTGAATGACAAAGCAATAACAAACAGTGTATTTATGTTTACATACGCAGAGAAAAAGGTCTGGAAGTACATTTAATTGTTAGCAGCATTATTTCTAGTATTTGGAGGGCAGTTAAGAAAATGTGCTTTCCCCATTTTATATTGCTTTAATTTTCTTTTACAGCAAGATTTCAGGGCCGGGCGCAGTGACTCATGCCTGTAATTCCAGCACTTTGGGAGGCCGAGACAGGTGGATCACCTGAAGTCAGGAGTTCGAGACCAGCCTGGCCAACATGGCAAGTCTGTCTCTACCAAAAATACAAAAATTAGCTGGGCATGGTGGTGGGTGCCTGTAATCCTAGCTACTCGAGAGGCTGAGGCAGAAGAATCACTTGAACCCAGGAGATGGAGGTTGCAGTGAGCCAAGATCACGTCGTGGCACTCCAGCCCAGGTGACAAGAGCAAAACTCCATCTCAAAAAAAAAATTACTCTTATAATTGGGAAGAAAAAAGTATAAAGGAAAAGTGTAATTGCTTTGATGGGTTTACCCACGTGGTGTATTCACCCAGGAGAAGCACCAAAGTCCACCTGGAAAAGTTAAAAGGAAGTTTTACAAGTGCTGGGTTAAACCCACGCTTGTCTGACAACAAGCTCATATTTTTTACACTGTTGAATACTGCCACCTCCTTTCATTCATTCATTTGCCAACCAGACACTGGAGGACACCTACAGGGAGCCAGGTATGGGTTCACCTGCAACAACACAGAGAGAAAAAGGAGCCAGGGGCCTAGAGGACCTCCAGTTGTTTGGCTATAGAAGGAGCCTACAGTACCAAAAGAAGAGCCCCACCAGTGAACCCATGCTGCCAAGGGCACTGCACAGAGGTCAGGGGCTTTATGCTAGTCAGAAGGGTCCCCAGGTCAAATTAGTTTGGGGAGCCTTGCTTTGGGGGGAAAGCCACTGAAGTTTCCTGAGCAAAGGGTGACAGCTGGGACGGAGGGAGGGCAACAAGGCCCCAGGCAAGAAAACAAGGACAAAAAAAGGTAATTCATTCACTGAACATACAGGAATGGGGCTGTACCCTGTGCCAGGCTCCACACCAGGACCTGAGGCTAAGAGGTGAATAGCTCAAATCCCTTCCTTGGGACATTTCCTCACAAGCAAGAGAAACACAGAGACAAATGAAAGCACACCTAGGAGAGACAGAACTGAAATGAGTCCACTTATGGGGTTCTGGGAGCCCAGTGAAAGGTCCTGCAGCCCTACCTGGGATCTACTCTTTGTTTGGGGGTAGAGGAGGAAAGTTTGCAGGGGGCACTGAGAGTCAGAACCTGCTTGATGCCTCAAGGAATGTTCCTCAAGGTGACCCCAGGCTGAGTGAGTCCCAGGCACATGCAGGAGTGAACCAGCAAAAACACCTACCTGGGGCTTCCCAGGCAGAGGGTGGCCTTTGCATGCATTCCTCCTCCACCAGCAGCCTGGGGCCAGTGGCTATAGATCAGTGAGGAGAGGGAGGAGAGGGGCATGGGGGCTGGGAAGGGGCAGGAGCTCAGGACCAGCTCCTGCATGGACAGCGCTCTATCTCACTAACACAGGTTAGGTATGGAACACTCATAATTCTATGTGAATTCTGCTTTTTTGCCATTTATTCATTTCCTATTTATAAAAGAAATGAAAGGCCGGGCACAGTGGCTCTCGCCTGTAATTGCAGCATTCTGGGAGGCCTCGGTGGGTGGATTGATTGAATCTAGGACTTTAAGACCAGCCTGAGCAACAGGATGAAACTCTGTCTCTGCAAAAAATACAAGAATTAGCTTGGTGTGGTGGTGGGCGCCTATAGTCCCAGCTATTCAGGTGGCTGCAGTGAGAGGAATGCTTGAGCCCAAAAGGCAGAGGTGGCAGTGAGTTGAGATCATGCCACTGCACTTCAGCCTGGGCAACAGAGTGAGACTGTGTAAAAAAGAAAATGAAAACATTAAAAATTAAAATTCCCCTCTTATTCACACCTCATTTAAAAAGAAGAGAATCTTAATAAGCAAAGAACGGAGCTTTGCAAGAGCCCCTCTAGAAGTTCTTCCCACGTTAGTTCACATGGCTTCTATCTGAGACATCATCCATTTTTCTGAGTCCATATACATTCAACCCCAGAGGCAGGCACACAGATTGTCCACAGTTCTGGACTCAAGCCATCTCTGTGAAGCTGCCCTCTTTAGAAAGCAAGGCACTGACTGCTCAGCAGGGAAGTGGGCCATGGGGAATATGGGTGTCACAAAGCTCCTGCCCAGAGGTCATGACTCACACAGGCTGGGTGGGAAGAGGGAGGGCGCTGAATTGCAAGGCCCTTGGCATCAAGCAGGTTCTGACTCTCAGTGCCCCCTGCAAACTTTCCTCCTCTACCCCCACACAAAGAGTCTCAAGTGTGTGCTACTGGTTGAGATGCAATTACACATAACTTTCCTCCTCACTCCTGCTTCCTCTAAATGGGAGAGGACAGGTCTGCTCACAAGGCCTGTGAGGGGCTGAGCCCGCATGGACACGCCCACTATTAGCTGATGATGAGGAGAAGTCATACATACTAACTGCTGCTCCTTATTCACCACTAGCTTCAGGTGCTGCACCTTCTCCGTTTCCACTATAACTTGCAGAACTTCCTAACTTCTCGAAAACTTAATCTTCTGTCAGGAATGTTTCTCCGAGAACCCTGAGAATGGCCAGAGGGACTTATTAACCAAAACATTTTTTGTCTGGAATATCTCCTTGTTAATGGTGCCGACAGATGATCAATAGCCAGCCTATTTAGAAATACCGGTCTGAATATTCCCAGGCAAGAGCCACTGGATTATTAGTGTGGCTGGTGAACCCTGCAATGGGACACAGACTGCTATGTTTTGGGCTTCCTCACAGGAGACTGGCTGCTGTCCTTTATCACAGAGTGTTGTGAGCATGTTTGCAGCGGTTCCTCGTGTGCTATATGTTTTCTCTGTCTGTGGGGACCTAATTACACTGCCTGGATGGCATCTCTGATCCATACACCTGCTGCATCTGATAACCACTCAGTGAAAGATGTCTGGACACGACAGACAAGATGCATCTCACTTTGCACATCCCGAAGGATCCTGTATAAATCAAAGCTTTGCAATTTGAATCCGTGTTCCAGGTTTATGGGAACAATTGGAAAATGCTATAAGATGATATAGACTTTTTTCTTAACCATGTATGTTAGAACAACAGCTGCCATTTATTGTCTTCTGTGTGCCAGGCTTCAGCTTAGGTGCTGTATTTAACTTCATCCTCACAGGCCCCCTTGTAACCAACGTATTTCTCTTCATTTGTTCAGATAAGCAAAATGAGGCCTGGAGAAGTAACATCATTGGCTTTAGGTAATGCAGCCAGTAAGTGCTAGGGCTGGGTTAAACCCACACTTGTCTGACAACGAGCTCATATTTTTCACACTGTTGAATACTGTCACCTCCTTTCATTTATTCATTCGTTCATTCATTCACTTGCCAACCAGACACTGGAGGACACCTACAGGGGGCCAGCTACGGGGATTTCAAAGACACACTCTTATTTGAGCATATCTATAATTGGGCACTTATTGTGACTTCTGGTTTGGAAATGTGGATTTTCTAGGCTTCTGCTATGTTCACAGAGCAAATCAACATCAACAAGCGGGTTGGGAGGTGTCCTGCCCCCCACCCCACGCCAGCCCCCTTACCATCTCCAGTCTTGCTTGAGTTGGGAGGTTCAGGTGTACTCAGAGGCCTAAGGGGAATAATAATCTCATCAACATTAACCCCTTCATCCATGTGCTTCTCTGAAACATGGGAGAGGAGTTCCGACTGATTTGGTGAGAAAAGGTTACAACATTTACACATAAAGATGGCCGTGTTTTCTGTAAAAAAGAAAAAAGAAAGAAAGAAAGAAAAATACGTTATTTCATCTCAACGTAAACAATTATTACTTCTAATTGCCAAAGAAAATACCGAAAGCTGCCCCTTCTGAGCCATCACCAGCCTCTACCAGATTGTGTCCCTCTGGCAGTCACCTCCACAGTAGGCCACCACTTCCATCTTCAGGGAGTTCCAGGGGCTGGAAAGTTCTTTCTTCAGTATCTGTTTCTTCCTTTTTTTTTCTTTTTTTTTTTTTTTTGATAGAGTCTCACTCTGTCACTCAGGCTGGATTGCAGTGGCATGGTCCCAGCTCACTGCAACCTCTGCCTCCCTGGTGCAAGCAATTCTCCTGCCTCAACCTCCAGAGTAGCTAGGATTACCGGTGCGTGCCACCACACCCAGCTAATTTTTGTATTTTTAGTAGAAACAGGGTTTCACAATGTTGGCCAGGCTGGTCTTGAACTCCTGACCTTGTGATCCACCCGCCTCAGCCTCCCAAAGTGCTGGGATTATAGGCTAAGCTACCATGCCCAGCCTTTTCTTCAGTATCTCAAACCTCAGTTCCTCTGAATAGTGTGTAATATGAACCTTCTTGTTACCCAAATCTACTCAACAGCCCAGATTCCAGGATAAGTGAAAAACAAATACGCAACTTGAAAAACTAAATCCTACCCCTGAAACGAATGAACTGCACATGGATGGCCATTAAGTAGTCATGCTAGACTCTCTCAAATTAGGTGCAAGGAAAAATTAACCAAAATAGCATTTCTCAAGAGTCAAGTACCTTTCAATGAAAGGATGGGAATTTGTTGCCTTTTAAAGCCACTTAATTCCTATTTAAAACATCATTGTTCAAAAATTTACCAATAGTTCATTATGTTCATCCCATTATACTAGGCAGGAAGATGTGATGAGAGAAATAAATCACTCATTTTTTAGACTGATAAAATACTGACAGGTATATAAACAATGTTAAATTCAGGATTAAATAACAATTAAGTCAGATCTTTGTATTATTATCTTTACACCTAGACTGAAAGGAAGTAGCTTTGTCCACTGAAAAGGACAATGGCTTTGGAGCCAAAAGACTCAGGTTAAATTCCCAACTCTAGTCCCTAAATGCTCGAAAGCTGGGACCTCAGAGAAGCAGTCATCTGTCTGGAATCCATAGGAACTTTGGGGACATGGCTACTCAGCAGCAAGAACCCAGCAGGCACCCAGAAAGCACAGCACTGACGCGGCAGAGCTCTGCACCCACAGTGTGCTCTCGCCCAGCAGCCGGATGGCTGGCAATCCACCCCCAGCTCCCCTTGACATCCCCTCATCAGCCTCCTGGGGACTCTCAACACTGTCTGGAAGTCATATGCTACTTCCACGGCATTGACTGGTGATGCTGTACAGATACATGGCAATCACACAAGCTCTGTGCTTCCTGGTGATGGTGAGCAAGTATCTCATTCTTCTCACTCCTCACTCTCAACAGCTGACCGTGCTTCTTATCTCACTGGAAGCAGCCAGAAAACAACTGCCTCTACCACCCCTTCCAGCCCACCTGCGTCTTCTGCCGTCTCCCTCCTTGCTCCTGCAGATGTGAAGGTGGGCACAGTGAGAGGGACACAAGGTGTGCGGGTGAGGGCAGGGGCCCACCCCAGAGCAGGGCTATCATATCTCTGATATTGCCTGGAATTGCTGGCTCATGGAGATACTAGAAGCAGACCAGCACTTCACTTGTGTCATCATTGCTTTCAAATTCTCTAAAGATAGCGCATCCCTGATTCCCTGCAATGGGACGCTGCAGGAAGATGCTCGCACAGCCCTGTGTGGAAAGATCACTAGGCAAAGGACACATGATGGTTTGTGTGTGTAGAACCCTCCCTCTCTGATGATCATTCTTCAGGTCAATTCTTCCCTCTGTACTAGATCCTTCCATTGGCCTATAAAAATTACACTTATTCTCCCATATTAGAACAAAAACATCTCCTGATCCCCACTCCCCCATCCCATTTCTTTCTCTCCTCTTTACAGTAAAACTCTCCAAACAGAAAGAGGAAATTAGGAGGAAAGGCAGTAAGTAGGCCAAGCCGTCCTTGCTGACGTGAAGATGGAGTCCTTGCAAGGCACTGGGGACCCAGGAGCGAGCCCCTCTCTTGATTCAGAAAGGCTTTCTCCATGAACTAGCAGTGAGGTAATAACCTAAGAGAATTCTTTCCTACAAGCAACACTGAAATCAAAATTTAACAAAGCAGAACATTGCTTCATCAATGAAAATCTCTCGTGAATACTGCCAATCAGTGTTTCTTCCAGGAAATGTTTTATACCTAAGGAACCCAACATGCTTCCCAAACAAGAAGAGATTAGAGCAACACATTTTTCTTTATATGAGGCCAAGTTGTTTTCAGTGTGCTTCCTGCTAATCCTACAATAATCTGATGATTTAGGCAGAAAGGGGTTTGTAATTCCCAGTCCACAGGTGAGGAAACTGAGGCTGAGAGAGGAAAAGCAACTTGCTCAAGTCATCATGGGCAATAGGAAGGGACCAGATTCTCTCCTACCTACATTTGACAAGAGTTTTGTTTAGTTATAGCCCAAGAGCTGAGGTCCTCCAGGTTACAGCTAAAATACTTAGGACTCTACATCCAGCAACATCAGAAATAAAACTCATTACAGAGAAAAGCATAATCCCAAAAGCACATATCAACTTCAAATGCGTTCATTTCAGGGTCCACTGAGCAGTGACCACAGGTGGGCCCCAACCCAGGCACTGGAGACAGATGAATCGGGCATGAGGCCCAGGTCCTGCCACAAGAGGAGGCCACCATCTCACTGGAGAGACAGACATGTCACAGAATAATCTCAAGTAATGGTTTTTACTGAAATTATTTCCCAATACCTCTAAGTATTCCTGGTTCCCAGGGTGCTCTCAGTAAAATGGGAATTCTGTGACATGTAATGGAGCTGAACTTCTGAGGACCACAGGAGTATTACAAGAGGTCTCCTAGTTCAAAGGCATCGATGGGCATTTGGGTTGATTCCAGGTCTTTGCTATTGTAAACAGTGCTGCAATGAACATTCATGTGCATGTGTCCTTATAGTAGAACGATTTATAGTCCTTTGGAATATATACCCAGTAATGGGATTGCTGGGTCAAATGGCATTTCTATTTCTAGGTCCTTGAGGAATCGCCACACTGTCTTCCACAATGGTTGAACTAATTTACACTCCCACCAGCAGTGTAAAAGTGTTCCTATTTCTCCACATCCTCTCCAGCATCTGTTGTCTCCAGATTTTTTAATGATTGCCATTCTAACTGGCGTGAGATGGTATCTCAATGTGGTTTTGATTTGCATTTCTCTAATGACCAGTGATGATGAACATTTTTTCATATGTTTGTTGGCCTCATGTATGTCTTCTTTTGTAAAGTGTCTGTTCATATCCTTTGGACAGGGAAAATGTGGCATATATACATCATGGAATATTATGCAGCAATCAAAAACGATGAGTTTGTGTCGTTTGTAGGGACATGGATGAACCTGGAGAACATCATTCTCAGCAAACTGACACAAGAACAGAAAATGAAATACCGCATCTTCTCACTCATAGGCGGGTGTTGAACAATGAGAACACATGGACACAGGGAGGGGAGCACTACACACTGGGGTCTGTTGGGGAGAATAGGGGAGGGACAGCGGGGGGTGGGGAGTTGGGGAGAGATAGCCTGGGGAGAGATGCCAGGTGAAGGGGAGGAAGGCGGCAAATCACATTGCCACATGTGTACCTATGCAACTATCTTGCATGTTCTTCACATGTACCCCAAAACCTAAAATGCAATTAAAAAGAAAGAAAGAAAAAGGCACACCAAGCACTGCCTGGAGATGACATAAACAAACCTATTTTGCATTTGTATGTGACAGTGCTGGAGACTACTGGAAATAAACTGCTGCTCAACTGTTCCACACCACCGGAAGCCTGAGGACCCGGGTGGCACCAGCCTTGGCCATCTGTTATGAATTTGCATGACAGATGTGTCTGTGTGCTCAGCTCTCTCAGGCAGGGAGACTGGACCTGGAGCTCCTGAGGTGGAGGCAGAGACAAACACGGGGACCTGAAATGACTCTCACATAACAGAAGGCTCTGCCATATGATGCAGGCCATAAGAGTGGAGTGGATCCTGACCTCGACAGGCTGCCATAAACAGGAGAGGCTCCTCAGCCAAGGGACAGCCAGAGCTTAGTGCTACAGGGCAGTGAAACTCCAGGAAGGATGGGTGGGCAGGAGACCTGCAGGCTCAGGCAGGAAACACTCCAAGTGCCACAGAGACAGGAGTGAGGGAAATGAGTGGGCCTGCTGACAGCACAGGGACAGAGATCCAAAGGCCCAGCACAGTCACTGAGCAGGCACTGGCAGCTCCTGAGAGAGCCAGGAGTCTACCAGCAGAGCAAAGGCAAGGAGAAACCGTGTCTGCAAGGGCTGGCCCCAAAGGAGAGGCCCCACATGCCTGAGCTGCGCCCGCTCCCCTGCGTGTCCACCCACTGGTCTCTGCATGGCCTCATCACATGGCTCTCCCTAGAAAGTGAGGTCACTGGAAACAGCATCTGGCTAGCCTTGGTCACCTCGGTGCTCCTGGAGGACAGCAAGTGGCCATGGCGGAATGAGGGAAGGAGAAGGAAGGAGTGCATCGGCACAAGACGGCGGGACTGACACCAAAGAGCCTGTCCAGGGATGAGAGCAGAGATGAAGGCCTGGACACAGGTCTGCAGAGGAGTCGGCCAAGCAGGCATGACACCATCACTGACCAGACATGAGCAACAACAGAGACAGGGGAGACAGATGTGCCCCTAATGGAGCAAGGACAAGTCTGGTGGGCAGGATCAGGTGGTTTTGGGCGGGACGTCAGCATGCAGATGCCTGCTAGGAGCAGGCAGTGCAAGATGGGGTAGGCTTCAGGTATAGTGGGGCAGAGAAACGGGGTCAGCACCCAAGGAGGAGCATCAAGCCTAAAGAT